ATATGGTGTTGCCCATGTCCGTCCCGTCCTGTCGCGTCCCGTCCCATCCATGAGCGGGGGCATTTATGTCTTACAGACATTTTCTAGTTTCCAGATGAATGCATAATACAATGTATCTACATACAGCATCCTACAGGGACTATAGCTGTCAACCTTGACAGTTATACTGATCGTGTTGTTATATGAACTTTGTCCTCCTAAGGTGTCCAGATTAACAAAGTTCCATTAATCTGTAGGTATAATGATCTACCTGATAAGTGAATGGAACATTTGTGGCTTTAAAAAACTGTTCAACTTCTAATTGTTTGATGGTTGTTTGTTAAGGATCCCTGTCCCAGTGCACTGCTGTTTTTCCTACAGTAACCTCCCCTTAACTTCTATTTGGATTACTATACTATACCACACTGGGCCAAGACATTTCAGTTGACCTAGCTGGTAACGAGTCACATCGGTTAGAGCGATAGTATATCAATCTGAAGTCCAGGGATCAAATCCTGTTGATTACGTGATTTCTTTTAACACTGAGAACATTGTTGTTGATAAGATTTTAATTATTTCATCATTATTGTTTCTCATTTATGAGAATGATAAGAAGATCAAGGTATGGGTGTCTTTTCAGAATCGATTGATCAAACCTGTAGTCATGACGGTAAAAAAAAAGGTTTACAACACTTCGTTACAGTTTTTGACAGTGGTACGGGGATCCTTCAAGTTGCTCCCTTTACCTATGTCTACATCATATATTATATATTGTTGTGTGGTAGAGTTTGTTTTTTTACTGTTCGTTGATATTATGTTATTTATTCACTTTTGCTATGTCCATGTCCTTTTGATATTATAAACATTCCGTCATAATAAAGTATACAATTTACATAACAGGGTACGTACAAATTGTGTTCTGCTCAAAGCAGCTGTAATTGTGATTTCTGTTTATGATATTTAGTTTTGTATAATTATTTGTAGTTTATATTTTTACTTGTGTTGTAATATTTTTTTTTGTATATTTATATTCTCACCATGTTTATACCCCTTGCAATGTATAATGATATATATATATATATATATATATATATATATATACAGAGGGAACACTGGATTCAACACATCTTTCCTTTTTACTGTAGACAAAAGATTGAACCGACTACTTCACCGTGCAATGGAACTTATCAGTATGCAAAAGTCGATGTAATTTATTTTTATTTCCCCAACTTTTATATCCATATGTATTGATCATTTCAGCACTTTTTATGCGATTTAATGTCTCTGTCTGTTAAAAATGCTCTGTTTTCTTCTCCTAAAATACTTAGTACATTTAAATCAGTATATGTAAGGTATTTATTATAGTAATACAGTTTTGCAGAGTTATGCCCTTTTATATTAAAAAATATCACTAATGTTTACCATTTTATATTACTTCTAATTTATTTTCAATTTCATTTTTCATTTTTGTTGATCTGTTACTAAGAAATTTTGTAGTTTTAGTGTACCATCATATAACTTTATATCGGGTATGTGTGTCTGACAAATTGTTACAATGTGTTAAGTTTTTGACAGAGTTATTGCCCTTTTTGAAATTCCTTGGAAGGGGCACACATAGCAGATGAGCAGAGCTAGGGTATTTAAGTAAACTGTTGGCTTACAGATCTAGTGTTTGTTAAATGCAATATACATACTTTGCTGTTGTTATTGACTGGTGCATTCAATCATTTCAACATATTTGTAATTTTTAATCACAATGATCAATCACATGTTCTGCTGATATGTATATGGCTATAAAGTTTGATGGATCCTAGGTCTGAACTTACAGGCCAAGATTGGTTTGAATAAACTACACTAATCACTTGACTATGCAAAACTACCTTGTTATTTCTTGAGAATGATATGAAATGTTTTGTAAAGAACAAAAAAATCAATATTTGAGACGATATTTGTAAACGAGGATGAGTACAAAATAAATGATTTTAGTAGTTGTATTATAGATTAATTCTCCACATTTTTAATTTAATGATCAAACAGTGAATGATGAAGTATATATGTATCACAGTCATTAAATCTGAACATATTGTTCTATTTTTTTATTACTCCGTCCAATTTATGAACTATTTATTTACAGTGTAATTTTATGATTGACCAATCATAAGGAAACTACTGTCTTTGTGGCTTGAGAATTTTGAACTATGTATCCCTGGTACAAAGTTTTGTAATGATTGACTAAAGCAGTCACAGTGAAAATACTCCTACATTTGGTGTAGTAATTAACATATTAGTAAACTGCATGAAAATTCTGAATTTTAGCATATTGCAGAAGAAAATTCATACTACACAGCTACATACCAATTTTAATTTCACCAATGCCGTCCAATATACACTTAATTATGCATACAATGTCCATTTCACCTGCAGTTTAAATACAATTACTTACATGTGTATACTATATTTCTTAAATATCATTTCATATCCTTCACTTCAAGAAAAATGTATGAATCAAACCTTCACAGAATTGATCACCATCTGAGAGTCGAGTACATTGTATGTACAGTTAGTAATAGCACTTGTTAACACCATGCCGCTTTATAAGCATTTCATATTATGTATTATATCCTTCTACAATACAGGTACTGTAGGCTGAACATAAGAATTACAGATCCAATTCATTCAATTTCCACATAGACCAAAGTGTTACCTTGAAAAACCACCGGTTCTCTTCAAAATGTTATTAAAACATAGACGTGTGTAGTGTTCATTTTATGTACTGTCCTCACCGCCTAACATGTTTAGATATCAGACTATCTCAGTAATGTTCATTCTGCAAGAGAAACAAACTGGAAAACACATCTACTTTTGAATGGGTAATGTGTTGCCTATAGCCTATATTGTATAAGTCAATAAACAGTACAATACAATTCTTTTTCCTGAGTGTTTTTATTACGACTTGAACAGTTTGATATGTAACAAATAAAAAGCTTGTGATTTTCAAATTAACTCACACAAAGTGCCTGTGAGTTTATGAGATGGCACAGCATCTGGCATCATCTTTTTCTTTAAACGTTCTTCTTTTAAAGTTAAGGGTTGTAACATTTAGCCTGTAACATGCTGGGATGAAAAACTATTAAGTTTGTTCTTATAAATGACCTTGACCTACACTATTTAACTTTTCAAAGTTGGAGGGGTCAAGTGAGTAAAAAGAAAAATTCAAATATCACTTTCTTTTTTTAATAATTTTGTTAATAAGTGAATATTGCTAGTTTTGTAAAAGCAATCAATCAATATATTGTACATGGCTATCAGACATAACTCACTGTATGTACATGTAGGACCTTTTCCCTCAGATATAAATAGCTGAAATAATTCAGACATATCTGCTATCAACTAGGAGTACAGATGTGGTCAGTACGGTATAGCTTTGGTCAGTAAGGAGTGGAGCACAAGAGGAAAATGCACAGCCAGACAGGGATTCGAAACTGGGACCTCAGAACTCTAGATGGGACGCTCTACTGCTTGAGTCACCCATGGCCTGTCACTGACAAATGATCCAATCAAGTTCTGCTACAGTCCTTCCTCCTTTTTCTAAGTCTTCCTCACTAGAGACATTACTATCTACAACCTAGGTTCTGGTCATCTTCTCTTGCCAAACATTCACTCAGGTCTTGAAGCAAGGGTTATTCACAGGCACCAAATGTAGAAGATGCAAAAAACCTCAGCCATACTTGGATTAGAACCCGGTCCTCTGGTCACTTTGAAGGACATATGTGGTCAGGCATACAACCGTACATGTGGTCAGCACTTATGATAAAACTGTGGTCAGAAAGGCGTATATAGCAGTGATCACTAATGTACTGGTGGTTAGTTAGGGGAAATGTACCTGTGGTTGTGAGGAGTATAAAATGTCTAAGGTCAATAAGGAGTTGAGCTGTGGCGAATTAAGAGTAAGGTACTTGTGGTCTGTATTACATAGTTTGGGTTAGTTTAGGCTTAAAACTGTTGTCAGTTGGGCTATAACTGTGATCCAAAGTATAGCTCTTGTCAGTAGCAAAAAAGGCTGTGGTAAGTTTTAGGCTGATAAAGCTGCGGCCAGTTAGGCGTAAAGCAGCATCCTCCCATATACACGTTCCTGAAAATATAATATGGCAATTAGTCAATTTAAACTACTAGGTGTACAAAATATAAAAAAAATAGGAGAGGATAATATAGAAGCTGTTAAGAAAGATATCTGTTTGAGGAGAGATATATGTTTGAGAGGAGAAAGATGTTTGAGGAGAGATAGCTGTTTGAGGAAAGATAGATGTTTGAGGAGAGATAGCTGTTTGAGGAGAGATAAATGTTTGAGGAGAGAAAATTGTTTGAGGAGAGATAGCTGTTTGAGGAGATATAGATGTTTGAGGAGAGATAGATGGTTGAGGAGAGATAGCTGTTTGAGGAGTGGTAGATGTCTGAGGAGAGATAGCTGTTTGAGGAGTGGTAGATGTCTGAGGAGAGATAGCTGTTTGAGGATAGATAGATATGTGAGGAGATATAGATGTGTAAGGAGAGAAAGCTGTTTGAGGAGAGAGATAGATGTTTGAGGGGAAATAGATGTTTGAGAAGAGATAGCTCTTTGAGAGTTATAGATGTCTGAGGAGAGAGAGAGCTGTTTAAGGAGAGATAGATGTTTGAGGAGAGATAGCTGTATGAGGGGAGAAAGATGTTTGAGGAGATATAGATGTTTGAGGAGAGATAGCTGTTTGAGGAGAGATAGCTGTTTGAGGAGAGACATATGT